AATTATCCATTGCCCAAACAGAAACAAGGAAACAAGGGCTTGATCATCAAGCATTGATTAAACTTCTTTTCTTCCCTCAAGTCCCTGGACTTTGGTCCATCTACAAGTAGTGTCAACATGCTGCCTGTCCTCTTATGAGAAAGGAGGTTGGCCTCAGGCTAAAACTATCTAATCACCTCACCCTCTTACCTCTTCTTCACACTGGTTTTTCCTCAGCCTCTTTGGCTTCTAGAAAAGAAAAGCCCCTTTGCCTCACCCTTGTGAAGCTTGCTGAACATAAGGTTCAAGAGTATTGTCATCCCTGTCTGAGTCTGACTTTGTTTTCTTAATTGACATCTTTAATGCACAACCACTACATTATAATTTTTCCCTTTTCTTTGTAGCTTTTTTGTTTTCTCTGAAATGAAGAATTGATTTGTTTGCTTAATTTCCCCCTGTTGTAAGTAGTGATGGGTTCTGACTTAAAGTGACCCTATTTTTGTACCCCCCAAAACACAAACTCACTGCCATCAAGTCAGTTCTGACTTGAAACATCCCCAAAGGGCAGAGTAGAACTGTTACTTTGGATTTCTGAGGCTGTAAATTTTTATGGGAGGCGAAAACCTCATCTTTCTCCTGTGCAGCCACTGGTGTGTTTGAACTGCTGACCTTGTGGTTATCAGCCCAACACAATCCACTATGCCACCAGGGCTCCTGGCTATTTATATACAACAGAAGGAAACGCTCCATCCTAACTGTTGTTGCTATGTTTGAGCTCATTGTTGCAGCCACTTGTACCAAGATTGAGGGTCTCGTTCTTTTTTCCCCATCTATTCTACCAAGCATGACTGGTTTGTCCTGAAACATGTTCAAAGTATTGTGAGACAGATTCTCATCTTTGCCTCTAAGAAACATTCTGACTGTACATCTAATGTAGACCTGGTCATTCTTCTGGTAGCTCATAGCACATTCACTATTGTTTGCTAACACCAATATTCAAAAACATCTGTTTTCCTTATTCATTGTTCAGCTTTTGTATGCCTATGAGGTAACTCCTGTGAAGAGTTACTGTTTCAGAAACCCACAGGAACAGTTCCACTCTGCCCTATAGGATCCCTATGAGTCAGAACTCACTCAGTGGCAGTGAGATCCCAATTTCATCAGAGCTTCAAGAAAAACTAGAAAATCTTTTCCAGATGTGTTCAGACACATCCAATATTTCGTCAGCTTCATTGGCTTAGTGGTGTTCTGGGGAGTTCACCATTCTTCTGGAACTATCCTTCTTCCCCTTCCATATGTCTCTGTGTTCTTTGGGGTCTACTCCCTTGGCAGTCACAATAGCTTAGTGACTTACGAGTGTGGACTCCAGAGCCAGCCTGCCTATGATACCTTAGGCATCCTCTTTGTACCTGGCAGAATCTGAAGGATGAGGATAATAGTTGTTTCCATGACAAGGGGCTGTTTTAAAAATTACACAAGCAAAAAGTAAAAGGCCTTTGTCTAATCTAAGCACTCAAGTAGTCATTATTTTTGTTATGGTTTAGTGGTTAAACAATCCCTCAGTAGTAGTTTCTTGAGAAAAATGTACATGGGAAGAAAATGTTGCCTGTCATTTCTTGAAAATATGTTTATTCTCTTGTTCCTTCTTAATAAATAATTTGGTTGGTCTTTTCATTTTTAGTTAGAAATTATTTTCTTTCAGAATTTTGAAGACATCCTTTATTTCCTATTCCGTGTGTTGGGTGGGCACTTGGCCTAGAAATTCACATCTTTCAGATCAGAAAAAAATGTATTTGTTTTCTTTTTATGCTTCTCTTCCCCTTTATCTCCCATTTCCCTTCTCTTTCCTTCTGAGGGATATTTCAACTTCTTACTCTTCTCATTTTTTATGAGAATAGTGTTACTCTGATATTTGTAAATGTTTTGTTCCCTAGTCAATGAAAACCTGACAGATCACAACAGATTATTGTCTGTTGGATTCTGAGCCTGGTAGGATGGAAGGCGGCCCCACACCGTAGCTGCAACGTAGTCAAGTATTTCAGGGAACATTGTCAGATTGGGCAGTGGTTCCACCTGTTATACATAGGGTCCCCATGAGTTTGGAGCTCCCGTATCTTTGACATTGTCTTGTGGGTTGTTTTAGTTTCTGATGGTAGACATTCTCAGATCTTTGGAGATGGTTAGCTTTCCACTCACATCTCTAAATGAGACGCTAAAAGCTGACTGCAAACATGCTCAGACCCCAAAGTTATGCCACTGAGTAGACTTCCTTCTTCCATCATTGAGATGGGGAAGGGTCCAGCTGTTTAGCTGAGGGTGTGTCAGAGAAATGTCACTAACTATAGACCCTTAAGGATGGAAATGCTTAATGGCTATGTTTAAAATAATTAAAACATTTCAAAAGTAACTTAGAAAATAAGAAAAACTAAAATAAGATGTTATTTAGAGAGGTAGAATTAATGAAGAACCACAAAGAACTTTTGAGAATTCAGTTTTGCAGAGAGGTGTTAGCCCTTTTGGTAGGTTGATAGGGACTTACCATATCTCCTCATTTCCTTTATTGACTTGCTTTTTCATTGTCCCTGGAAATTCAGAGCATGCCATTATCCATCATCTTCTCCAGAGAACAGACCTCCAGTCATTAATAGGGTGACCAAGGGTAAGTCTAAGGGTGTTTAGGATGAAAGGAGAACCAGGAGAATTTTATTTTGTTGCTGTTGTCAAAAATATACACACTAAAACATACACCAATCCAACAATTTCTGTTAGTTATATAGTTTAGTGACATGTCTTGTATATTTGTTAAGTGTGTAGTCATTCTCATCTTCCTTTTCAAACTTGTTCCGCCCCCCCATTAACTCATAGACTCATATCTTCCTGCCTCAGCTTCCCATCTAGCATTTTGCATTGCCACAGTTCATTTGATCCCCATATGCTTTAAAAGAGGACAGTGCTCAAGGTAGACATTCTTCATACTTAAGCTAAACTTTTGTCTGGTGTAAAAAAGACTAGGCGATTTTTTTGGTTTAAAGGTTAACTTAGGGCAGTGGTTTTGTTTGTTTGTTTGTTTGTTTTAAATCATTTTATTAGGGGCTCATACAACTCATCACAATCCATACATACATCAATTGTGTAAAGCACGTTTGTACATTCATTGCCCTCATCATGTTCAAAACATTTGCTCTCCACTTAAGCCCCTGGCATCAGTTCATCATTTCCCCTGCTTCCCACGCCCTCATGAACCCTTGATAATTTATAAATTATTATTTTGTCTTAACTGTCCAACGTCTCCCTTCACCCACTTTTCTGTTATCCGTCCCCCAGGGAGGAGGTTATATGTAGATCCTTGTAATCGGTTCCCCCTTTCCATCCCACCTTCTCATCCCACCTTCCCTCTACCCTTCCTGTGTCACCACTCACACCACTGGTCCTGAAGGGATCATCTGCCCTGGATTCCCAGTTTCCAGTTCCTGTCTGTACCAGTGTGCATCCTCTGGTCTAGCCAGACTTGCAAGGTAGAATTGGGATCATGATAGTGGGGGTGGAGGGGTGGGAAGCATTTAGGAACTAGAGGAAAGTTGTATGTTTCATTGTTGCTACCCTGCGCCCTTACTGGCTCATCTCCTCCCAGCGACCCTTCTGTGTCTTGGGTCCCCACTCTGCAGTCCCCCTCATTCACAATGCTTTGATTTTTTGTTCTGATGATGCCTGATACCTGATCCCTTTGACACCTCGTGATCACACAGGCTGGTGTGCTTCTTCCATGCGGGC